TTCACTTCAAAGGCATCACTGAACTGTCCACTGCGAATAAATTGGCATGTAGCCTGATTATATAGTATAGCATATGGCTGTTGAATCAGGTTGATAAAGGTTTGTGTTACTGAAACTGTAGTGTTGAAGCAGCTAGCTGCCTGCCAAATTACTTCTCGATCGACGCTGTCGAAGGCCCTTTTCAAAGTCAATGAAGTTGAGGTAAGGTGAAGAGTTGACTGGCATTCTATACTCTGTTCTATGATGATGGGTAGCGTAGCGTTTCAATCTGATTCGCATATGATTTGTTCTTCCTGGAGCCAGTCAGCTAGCCTGTTCCGGTCGTAATTTCGAATCCAGAGCATTTTCTATTTAGTCTCTCCAGGACGATGCAACTCAATATTTTAATTGGTGTGGACAGGGGTGGAGAATGATTCCGCTCCAGTTCTCGCAAAGACTTGGATCTCCCTTCCTTTTTGAGTTTGATAAGGTAGCCCTTCTTCCAATCAATCTGCAAGTACCCTTCCTTTCTTCTAAAGATTTAGCAATCAATAGTTGTGTGAGCATGTGTGCTATTGTCTCTGAGTCTGTCTTCAGTGCTTCAGGAGGAACTCTATCTGGTCCTGCTGCTTTCCCGGATTTCAGCAGTTTTATGGCATTCAGGACTTCACTTCTGCTTTTGTCGGAGAGCCTTTGTTCACTGGTAGTTCTGTCGTTGCTGGCGGTGTTTCTGGAAGAGTTGCAGGTGTTAGTGACGGTCGATTTAAGAGCTTTTTGAAGTGGTCAGTCCATCGTTTCCTTTATTTCTCCTCTTTGGTATCGAGGTTCCCTTCGCCATTTCTCATTGGGTTCATCCGTGTTGATCTCTTCCCTTCCAGATTGTAACCTAGTTATTTGATATAGTGTTGTCAGGTCTCTGTCTCTCCAACCAGTAGCCTATTCCTCTCCAGTTGCAAGTGTGTCGTAGAAGTATCTTTCGTCTTTCCGTGTACTCTTCTTCTTGAATTACATAAGGAAACTAGATTTTGTAGTTATTGTTGACACTTCAGCAGTATGCCACTTCAACAAGTGCTGATGAAACAGCTATCCAGTATTTCTTGGTTCTGCAACAAGTGTCAATACGTAATCAGAACTGTTTGCGAAGCAGACACATGGATTGCTAAATACATTACATGACTGCTATTAGTACGTAAAAGCCTTAAGTAGCTGAAATGTATTTTAATAATGAATTGCCTTCAAACCACACAAACTGAACTAATAACCATATTTTGCCCATATCCAGTATGTATTTTCTTGACAAATAGTCGTTGCATATAACTCTCAACTTTTCTCTTTTAATTTGATGATAAAACCATTTAAACGACATTTATAAAGAAAATATATAGGAATAGACTGCAATGAAGTTACCTGCTGAATTAAGTTAGTTACACAACGGAGCCATTCCTTCGTTTGTATAATGTTCTCGTTTATTAAATAATTGCATAAATGAAAAAGACTACTTTTAGTTTGAACAATGTTATTTGAGATAGTGTGGTCAGTTCTGTTTCTCTCCAACCAGTAGCCTATTCCTCTTCAGTTGCAATTGTGTCGTATATGTATCTTTTAACTTTGCCCTCCCTCTTCTTCACATTTTTGTCCATTGTTTTATACTTGGTACTCAGTTTTTTTCGTTGTGCATCCTAGCACTGAACTGGTTCGTCTTCTGCTTCACCATCCTCCTCTCCCTCCTTTATCAACTTCCATGTGTCCGTCGGGATCCATTTCCTGTCTTGTTTCCTTTTCCTTCGAAATACGGTTATGCATGTTTCTTTCCACATCTCTTCCAAAGACTTCTAGTGTTCTTCAACACAGGTTTTTTCAGGGATATCGCTCAACGTCTCCCATTTTGTTCTGATGGCTGACGTGAAGGTGGCCTTTGTAGTTTTGTACTTCAGTTTCTTGGTGTTTAACTGGAACTATGGTCTATCACCAGCTATCACTTTCAACTTGATTTTGAAGTTTCCTTGCGGTGGATAGTGAGTGATGTGAACCTACATCTGCTCTCCTTCTTGAACTGATCTTGTGTCCAGTACGCTGCATCTCCACTTTCTCACATTGAGATGAAGTCCATTTGATTTTTAGTGTAGTGTGTCCATCTGGTGAAGTCCACGTCACTTTGTGAATATCCTTGTGTTTGTGCACAGTGTCTCCAATCACCAAATCGTTGAAAGCGCGAAATTCTGCAAACAATTCTTCATTCTCATTCATTTCACCGAGTGTTTCTCGACCCATGATGAATTCTCTTCCTGTGTTGTCTGCTCACAGTTTGGCATTCATGTCGTCCATTAGAATTTAAAGTCGCTAACTGGGGTGGGGTCTTGTCCAGTACTGATTGCAGTTGTCTGTAGAATTTCTCCTTCTCTTGATCTGCATTATTTGTAGGTGCGTAGCGTAGCACTGTATGATTGTGACTTTCCTTCATTTTGAGTTGAATCTTCCTGTCATGATTCTGATCCTGCAGGAGGAGGTTGTTTCCCACTGCATGGGAGCTTTCGATGTTCCTGTAGACATCATGATAGTCACTCCGAAACTCAGTGTGCTGTGCTCGTGGTTGTCGTCTGGGTGACAATATCGGAGCAGATTGTTGACTCCAGTTGACAGTTTGGAGAGTCCACTCCCATTCCATCTGCTTTCGCTAATTCCAAGCACTTCAATGTGATACCTTCTCATCTCTTTTGCAATCTAGGCATCCTCGCCTTCCAGCTTCAAACACTCCATGTCCCCATGCTTACTTTCGCTTTCATCGAGGGGGAGAAGACTCATCGGCCGACTGGTTTCCCGAAGGCTTCAGCCAACCGACGTCACTTCGTCTCTCTGATTGCAGCGAGGAATAATTTTGTTTTCATGTTTTATAATTATTTTGTGCTTTGAAGTTCCCTTAGCGATTGGATTGGTTGGTAGGATTGCTAGCCGTATGCCCAACCTTCCCTCTTTACCAGGGCTTAGGACCGGCAAGTAACTAGTGAAGTAGTTAACCAGCCATATACTACATGTTCTAGAAAAGTTTTCAAGGAGGAGCAGTGCCAAACCGAAGTATAAACGTCAGCAATTAGACAGATAATCAAAGACAATTTATGTTCATTTAGGGAAACGAACACCAGGATTGTCTACAAACCAGCTGAGCTACAGATATCACACCCACCAGGTAACAAGGAACTAAGAATTCATCAAAATGTACACTTCACTCATAGTCCATCAGGTGGTCAGAAGTACATCACTGGAGTAGTACACCGTAGCGTTGACCGTGGCAATTCATCGCATAAAGGAGTACCTGGTTAGTTAGATCAACTACTCTTAGACTACCGCGGTTCAAAATGGACACAAGATATTGGGCTTTCATTTACAAAACAGAGGTTAGTTTGCTACGAGAAACAAAAATGTATGGCAACACTACCAGCTCAAAAAGGCCTCAGTATATAAGGTTCAGTGAGGTAGGGAAATTTATTTAACCTTTTCAATGTTAAAAATGCAATAAGAACGATTAAATGCACAAAAACTAGTTGACTTGATCTCTGCACAATTTCGAAAAATCAGTGGGCAAACAATGTTGAAATTCATTATTTAAAGGTAGAGGAGATGTTTCGGCAAATACTTGTCGCCCATTTTTATGGGGCGAGGAAGAGAAGGTTCACTAAATACTCTTCTTCAAGGTGTCAGCAAATTATTCTCCTCATTACCAACTATAATTCAATTACTTCAGACTACTCCACAACACAGATTCAGCAGAATGTCACTCAAGAATAATTTGTCACAGGGCAGCAAATGGTTGTCAACCAGTCAAAAGACACCACTTCCTTATTCATCTCTATTTCAAGGAGGGGGATGTTACAGTGTGGAATAAGATTGCCAAAATCTTCGTAAAGGCCCTCAATCCTACAACCTTCCTACAATCAATCCTGTTGCGCTGTAGTTTTGCGAGGAAACCAAAGTGTGCATAATAGATTGGTTGAAAGGATAAAAATCAACAGAATCTTTAAATTTAGAAAGGTCTGGAAATAGCCAAGGGAATTGTAAACACACATAAATCATCGTATTTTGTATGTTTTTTTGACGTTGAAATGCACCAAATGAATTTCAAGGGTGGAATCGGGAGGTTACTGCTCATGTGTCCGCATATATATATATATATATATATATATATATATATATATATATATATCACAAATTATCTCGACTTAAAGTTCTCATCCATGAGTATTTATGCAGACAGTGCGTTACCAAGTGATGTTTCTAATTAGGTACCATAGACCCCAGTTAATGGGTCGAAATACCTATTTAACTTTTTTGAATTCTGTGTCTATCTGGGCTAGCCACAGTCTTGTATACTAGTGATGAACTTGTCTTCAAATCTGTAGAAAAGGCATCAGCTACTTAGACCGTTTTCATTTGGTTAGAAAAGCTACTAAGTGGTCACTTACTCATATTATTCAATTTTGAATTCTATTTGACTGGCTATTTCGATGTTAC